AACGCAAGCTCATGACTTGACATCTCTGTTCGAGCATACCTGTAAAACGGTGGTCTGTTTCTCAGAAGTGCATCCATAATGGCAGACTGAAATTTCAGGAACTTTTGGAAGTTCGGATGGTTACTGAACTCTTCTTCATACTTTTATGGAGTGTTTTTTTTTTCCTCTGTCCCATGGGAGGTTATTGACCCAGTGGAAGTATGTGTAATCTTAGTATTTTTGGATGCTAGTATCTCTACTGCTTGTGTTGATGCTAGATCTTTGCAACAAACAAGAGGGTACTTGGGTGTGACCCAGGTTTTAGATCTTGACCCTGCCCTTTAAACAGGGAAGAGGACTAAATCAGTAGACGTCTAAGACACTGGGCTCACTCCCAATGTACACAGTGAGTACTGGAGAAAGGCCCGAAAGAGGCCAAAGTCTCTTTGGTCTGGCTTCACGTTCTGACCTGAACCTTAGGACTATAACAGATCTTAACCTTTGGTTCCCATGTGCAGTCAGAAGAGCGAGATGCTCTTCCAGCCAGTTCAGTTCTCCCACCTGATTTAGGTCCCATTTGCTAGAAGTGATCCATTTGAGCATGTGTTCCTTCGTACTAGACAAAGCATAAGAACCCTCAAATTCCTTTCTTTAGATGGAAAAAGCAAGAAGGCTGAAGAACGAAGTTGGAAAAAAATAGACTTCTCTCTAGAGAAATGATTGGCTGAAGGTTTCTCAGATGGTGACATTATTATTTTCAGTAGGGGTACTGGACTGAGATGTATAAACCCATCAGAGCAGAACCTCACATCTTTTTTTCCTCCTTTTCTCCATCAGAAATTCTTCTCCATTCCACTTCAAGAAATGAATTTGTTTTCTTCTTCAACTAATTTTCCTTCCTTATGTCATTAATTTATGTTTCCATTGATGTTCTCAGTGGCTGTTTTTCTCCATTGAGACTCAGAAGACTGTCTTTGAACACATGCATGAAAAGAGATCTGAGCCACCCAAGGAGCATACCTTTCTTCCTGATGCACTGACATTTAAAAGCTACATCTTGCAATAAAGCAAAAAACTGTGGCAGTCCGATTACATGCAGTTTGGTGAAGTAAACACTTGATTATCCAACAATGAGTCATTTCTGCAGTAACCCCATTCTGTCATGACTGGATCGCATCTGCTAATTCTCCAAAGCAAAAATCATAACCTGTACTGGTTTAAAACATGAATACATCCTCATGGTTCATACGTAACACTCTATTCAAGCAAAGAAGCCATGTGCTATAAGTTTAAAAGGACAAAGTACTTGTTTTCAAAGAGAAAATGCTATAGAGAACAACAAAGATAATTATGAAAAAGCTGCCCATTATTTAGCTCTTCTCACAGTGGCTGGCTTCTCCATTATTCTTCAAGTCTTTCTTCATTCTCTTTGAAAGCCTTTGTGTTTTTGGAGTGTAATGTTTTTGGAGCATAGCATATTGGGGCTGGGGTTGTTCTGCTGCCCTCTGAATTGACTCCCTGCCTTCTGTCCTGTTGTTATTGTTGGCCTCAATCATAGCCAAGGTAGGCCTGACTGGAGCATGTCCTCCTCCCCAAAATGCCCTGCTGTCCTCAGACAGGCCTCTGCTGACAGGACGAGAACCCTGCAGGCAGAACGCAGTTCCTAGATCATAATTCAGTTCAAAATGACATGATGCTGCAGGGTGCTCCTGGTTGCTAGACAACAGCATTTGTGCTAAACTACTTTAATTGCAACACTGCAGTTTTAATGAAATTTATTTAACATTTCTAGTAACAGTAATTTTATCAAATTTGCTGTTTCCTCTCTCTTCCATCAAAAAAGGATAGTGTGATAATGACACGGTAGTAAATTGGGAAATGGTTTAAGTGAAATATAGCCAACATTCAGTAACTTCCTTTTTAATGAGTGGCTATACTTAGGAGCACCTTTCGTACATTAAAACTAAGTGGTGCTAGTCTGTTGAGGTGTATGTGGACTACTACTTCACATGAGCTATGACTTGTTGACCGTAGTTGAATTTACTTTCTCTTTTTTTCCTGAAAGCAGAGGAGACATATGCAGTAAGGGTGATCTATTATTTTTTTGCAAAGAGAGCTCTTTGGGATTATACCATCCAAAGTTTCTGTGCAACTCTTGTCTGTTGCAGAAATGCTCAAGGACTTCAGTCAAGTAAGGGCTCCAGAGTGCTTGGTGCAGTAAAGCTACATGCTGCATGTCCACTGGGCTTTTTGTTGTACAGGAAGGACTTCAGTATGCCAGCAATGACATCCTTCTGACACTTTCATGAAACTCAAAGGGAAAAAAAAGGACTCAAAATAAAAGTAGAACTGCATTGTAAAGGCCATGGGTATACAGTTTTAGAGTTATTTAAGTATTCTTTGCCTATTACTTAACTTATTAGTAGCTATATGGATACCCAAATAATTAGCTTCCAAAGCCCACTCATTAATGGCAGATTTTTTTTTTCATTAGAATGCGAAGTTCAACCCATTTGCCATTTGCTTTTTTCCTAGATTAGATATAAAATAAAATGCTAATGTAGCTAAGGCATGTTCACAGGTCCGCGCAATAAAATGTTACCAATAGCCCACTACTTGCCATGAAAAACATCATTACTTTGTCTTGCAAATGAAAAGTCCTCCCTCCCCCGACCACATACGTGGCAAAATATTAGTCACATTGTGTTTATCAGCACCTGATTTAGAAATTAGTACCTCCTACTCAAAAGCAGGGCTTAAAAACATCCTTTGTCTGTTGCAAAAATACATTTTGAGGAGGAAACACCAACTGTTGTAGAGGTTACATTTTTGACAACTGTTTTTTTTTCCTCCCCCATCCCAAAAGAAGCACATATATACGTAGACAGACATTTGCCATTTGGGTCATGTGTTCTCCTTCCAAATATGAACAAGGTAAAGCACAGCCAGTATTCAACGTGAGAAACTCTTACTTAGTTTTGCTACATAAAATACTCTCTTAGTGGCAATATATGAACTCTTATTATAAACTTGTTTTAGCCATTGCAGGAAACGAGAGTTTGCAGCCAGCTAATTAGTATTTTTCTTAACGACTTCTGCTTGAGTTTTAACACCTTAAAGCAGCCTCTGGTGGTGCTAGCAAAGCAACTCAGCAGTGTAGCCTTAAAATGGGCAGATGGTTGGGTATTTCACACTCTGGCCTTCTAGGAGCGAAAAGCAAAGTGTGCCCAGTTCTGGAAGGTCCTTCAGCACACACTTAAGCATACAGAGAATTTCTGTTCTCTGGTAGCTCTGAGAAAGGAGTGAAGGAGAGGGAAGAATTGCATTGCTATGTGTCTGTTACCACCACATGAGATGAGAGGGCATACTGCATCAGCCAATACTAATGGGGAGAGACAATGAAAAACCTCGTCTGCTCTTGCTAAATCCAGGCGTGATAAGGAATCTGTGCCATGTTCTACTTTGGGAGAGGAAAAGCCTTTTCTTTATATTATAGAAAAATTAGGTTGGAAAGGACTCCTGGGGTTTATCTAGTCCAATCAAAGCAGGGCCAGCTTTGAGGTTTGATCAAGTTGCCCAGCATTTGTCTTGCTGAGTTTTAAAAGTCTCCAAGGATGGCGATTCCACAGTGAATTCTGCCACTTGGTATATTCCTTGCCCCACCGAGTGCATTCCCTTCCTTCTGCATACATGAAACCCACTCCTCTGACACTAACACTGAGGTTATCGATAGCATTCAAACAGATTCAAGGCATCTGGTAGTCTGACTCTGCACTGTTTGAGGTGAGGGGCAAAACATTGCTGCTAAGTTGCTACAGTGGCACCAGAGAAGAGGGATTTACTGAGATACCAGTTCTCCTCACAAGTCACCTTAGCGGTGCCAACTCCCATCCACTGCCGCTGGAATGGCAATGCAAAACAAAAACCTTTCTTCTACCTCCTTCCTTTTAGCTCCTCAAGCTTTACGTCCTCTACCAGGAATAACCAGAAATTTGTTTTCGGTTGCCCTTTTGAAAACTGAACTCCAGCCCAAACCTTTAACTGCATCCTTTTAAAGGCCACAGGGTGGTGTTAAGCTATGTAGGAACGCATTCAGAGAGGAGCTGAAAGTCTTTGCTGAGAACAGCACCTCTCACCTTGTAGACCCGACTGTACCGGGCAAGAAATTGTGCTTTGTGCCTCTACAGAAAACACTCCATTTGTGTCTTACTAGAGCTACCTGGGGAGGGAAAAAAAATGTTGTGGAGACCAGGAAATTTCTTAAAGTGCTCTACCTGGAGGTCAGTGGAATTCTGTTTATAAATGATGAAATTCCGCATGCATTTTGATGCTAAAATTGTGACAACTTACCAAGTTTGATATTACTGTACTTTCCTGTTGATGGTGATTTTTTTGAAAGTGGTGAATGTATTTTCCAAGAATACTGTATACATTTGTAACATGTATGTTTGTGCCAATAAATCTTGTTTTAAGAGGATGCTTTTTGTATCATTTCTGTTCCGAATGCATACGGTTTAAGCACAGTTGAACATTTTCAGCTTTCATTCCCTCTCTGCGTTAAGTGCTAAAGCCTTCTGGAAATTAAGTTTTTTAATTCACTCTGAGTTTTTATATATTCAGTCTAACAGAAAAGAAAACAAAACCTGTTGTATAAATGATAATGAAGCCCATGTTCAAAAAGGGCAAGGGGAAACTGGTATAACCATTAAAGAATCATGAAGAACAGATGCGTGAATGTGTTCGGTGCATGTGATCTTACTCTTAACTTTCTCAGTGGCGAAATAGGTTTTCGTTTCAATAGAGCACCATTACCTGAGGGAACTCACAGCCAGAAGGTACTGCTCGTTCAGACACTTGGTGTACTTTGGATGCTTTTTTTAAAGGGAGAAAGGATTCTCTGAGGGGGATACAGACTCTGCTGCAGGATCATCGTCTGCCTTGACTTGAAACAGCTGATGCTTGCCACGAGGGTAATGGCTTAATGGGCATGGGACCTGTTGCCATCCTTATTGCTGATAAGTAATTAAGCTCTTTGAAGGGGCAAGAGTTGGAAGCTGCTTTTTCCCCCCTTCTAGTGATGGCACCTACATTTTAAAATATATAAGCATAACGGTAAGCCCTAGACAGCTTTGTACCTTCACCCATACAGGGTATCGTTCTCATTCAACAGGCCTCACTCTCCTGCAAATCACCTCAGTGCATATAGAGGGCATAATATCATCTCCCCATCCAAACCCACCGAAACAGGTAATACCAAGATGTTTCCTCATATGACAGCTCTCTATTAGTAAAGCTATAGATTTTTTCCTTGGTAGCTCTTAAACAAGAGCCCCGATTAATCGGGGGCACTATGAGCCTCCAAGGAGAAGCTAGGAAAAAGCAATTGTTGATTTCTTTCACACAGTCAATATTCTTGTTTACGTGAAATAGCAAATAAGGACTGAAGTGAATAAGGTTGAGTGGTGCATATGAACATGAGACTGAAGAACAAAGGAAACTGATCAAAGCCCAAACAAGGCTTGTGCTAATTATTAAGGAAGCACAATGAGGTAATACTCTATTAGCACTCTTACAGTCTGGTTGGGTAGTTAGGTTAGTTTTGTTGAAAGAAAATGTCCAGATTTCCCATTTTCTAACTTACAAGGAACTTTAGTAATAAAAAAAAAAAAAAGGGTAAAACTGTAAAAATGTAATTCTATATAATGTAGAGATTAAGGTGAGGATAGCAGGGCTGGTAAGATAATGAGAAAAATCAAATGCATTTTGCATGCTGCTCAGAGAGCAATTCCATCTAATTACTGGAAGCTCGGGGAGAAAAAAGGACTTTTTCCTGTGGTTTACGAAGTTATGGTTTATGAAGTGCATATGCATTGGAAAGCCAACCGAAGATAGTTCAATACATGAAGGTAAGTGAATGAACAAGATGCTTTTAAGTCTTCCTGACAGACCTGAAATTTCAAAAAATATCTCACACAACTGAAAAAATGGTCAAATTGCAATCTGAGAATAAAAGCTTATACTCTTGAGACTGTTAGAACACTATGTGAAAGCAAACTAGGCAGTGATAATGACTACAAACAAAAACAAACCACCTCTTTTTGCTTTCCGAGGTCTTTCAAACCTAGGAGAATATAACCTCGTAACACCTGTGGCTTGGGCAGCTATTATCAGAAGTTCATACTACCTGTAAATATTAAAAATGTGGTAAACACTAAATACATTTTACTGTGGGAATTTCCAGATATCAAAGGCACTCTGTTATTACTGTTTTAAGGCAGCTTTTAGAATGACACTGCAGAAATAACAGCCTTTCCTTCTCCCGTAGCATCTGAACAGTCTAATTATAATTTAACAGCTGTTAGCTGAACCGCTTTACCAAGGCGGGTAAGCCTGGCTTTTCTGCCTTCTGTTGGCCATATTGCAGCTTTACTCCACTGAATGTAGTCAGTGGATTTGAGAATCAAATTTCTAGTGCTTATCTAATAATTGGCAGGTTGTTCTTTTAACTAAAGGATGTACAATACAACACTGTGTTATTTGCGTATTCTCTGGGTTAGCCTTGAAAACATCTGCTCCATAGTCCAGCTTCACCAGGAGCCTGGCAAGACCTCTCAGTCCCAGGCAGTGCGGGGCTATGTGATATAATCTGTAGTAAAAAGCCACGAGCCTTAACTACAGTGCACTGCGAGAGCTGGGCATATCAAAGGTGTCACCAGCATCACATAGCCTTGTTCTAACCTATAGTTTGTTAAACTTCCTTCCTAATAACCCAAGAAGGCTACAGAGGAGAGAGAACCCCAAATCTTTCCTAGTCCCTGTCAAATGATGGGGAAGGGAGAGAGCGGAGAGAGTTCCTTTTTTTTTTTTTTTTTTAATCTCAGAATCCAGTGATTTTGTTTAATTGCAAGCAAAACACAAGTGCCAGAATCTAATGTAATGAGGGACACTGGGATTCAAATTGCTTGAGGAGGTGGGAAAGTAAAACGGCTTTATATAGTTTTATAGAAAAAGTAAACCTTGAAATACGGATTTATTACGGTATAGATATTGCACCAGTGAAGAGCAATTCCACCTCCTTTTAAGCCGCTATGTAGACACCTACAAATTGTGATGACAAATTTCAATTTCTACTACCAGGAACTCTCTTGATGGTTTTGCCATCTTTCTGTGGGCTTATCAGGCACCGTTTGATAACCGTGTGCACTCCTGGCCCCCTTTAGAACTTCAGATTTGTTCTGAATTTCCTTTCTTAAAAGCTCTATTGTTCTGGTTACAACTATCTGGGAACAATGTATATTCCTTACTCTTTTCTTCGCTCTTTTCCTTCTATGTGACTGTTTCATGTACCATCCCTGCAGTCCATCTCTGCCAGTTCCACCGCTTATGACCAGAGCAGCCGCAGGCGTTCTCGCCCAAGTGAGAGCTCACCAAATGCTTTAGTGCTAGCACAAACATCCATCATCTCTTCTACAGAAGCCTGAAACATCCTACAAGCATACTAGGATTTTTCACAACCACATTTTACACTGACACCACTGTTGCCACCACCACTGCCTCCACAGCAGTCATGCTAATCTTCCCCTGTTACAACCTTTGTTTTACTCTATCTCTTACTTCCATAGTTTAGGAACAAAAAATTATAATTAGTGAAACCATGGTAAGCAATATCCTCAAAGATGCATTTAGTCTAAATCTTCCTGTCTCTACCACCAAAGGTTTCAGGGTCTTCTGTTTCATCCAAAAGTCTCAAAGTCTGAGTGGTTTTTGTGTTTTGTTTTGTTTTGTTTTTCAGGGGTGTCTACATACAAAAAGCAGAACTCTTGATTACTGCACTCACCATCGTAAGCATTTTTTGACCACTCAGATGTCTGTTCCCTTTGAACACAAATGCCAGTTGAAAATACAAATATTTCTGAGATGCCTAGGTTTGTCGGATAGATGGAAAAAATACAGTAGCAGCCTTTGCTGAGGATTTGAGAAGGCGTCTCTGGGGAGCTGTAGGCAACAGCAGTGTCCTTAAGGTTTGTCTATAACCTAGATGAGGAGCCAACCCACACTTTGCTCTGCAGCCAAGCCTAGAACCTGAATCTCTTTGGAGTAAGAAAGCCAAGCTGGCTCTGTGGAAGCAACGTTGCAGCATCTTTGAGGTGCTCTCCCCATTATGAACTGCCCTTAACTGTATGCAGATTTATCAGCTCTTGTGTAGGATACTGAAGTGCCTTCTTCTGACACGAGTAAGACACCAGTGTCTTACAGGCATCCCTGTGTCTGGATTTTACCACAGAATGAACTTTGGGCAGTTAGATCATTACTACATGATGAAGTGCAGTGTGAACTCTTCTTCAGTTGTGTATGGCTGAACAACACACCGCAGTCACACCATCGGTACCTAAAACTAGGAGAAGCAAAAAGGTACATTATCCTTATAAAGGGAGCCCTTCAGTAAATAACCTAACATGCCTGCTCCTGTTTGACCCAGACGTGAGGAAGGAATCAACCCATCAAATCAATCAACCCATCCAAACTAGCTGCTTCTATTCCTGTGGTTTTTTTTTTCTTCGTAGACCATAGCAGAATTTGTGGAGCTTGCAGAACTGATCTCTCCTTTCTGAATGTGCTGGCAAGAGTGGACACATCACTATGTATCTATAATGCCAGAATGAAGGTTGTCTTTTAAACTTTTTTTTTTTTGAAAAGGAAATAATTAAAATCTTCCCTTGCTTTTAAAATGTCCTTAATGAAGAAAAAAACAACCAACCTCCCTTTTCACTTGTCTAAGCTGGGTGGAGGTTCAGCTGCCTGCTTGCTGCATTGCCCAGAAGTGCAAGGGAGGCAAGGCTCCCAGGGGCAGCTGGGGAGCCCAAGCTGTGACCCCCCCCCCCCCCCCCGGTGCGCAGCCTGGGGAATTTCAAAAAACAGCAGCAGCCAATGTGAACAGCAGTGCTCTGCCACGGCATGGGCACTGCCCAGCATCTGCTGGTATTCTAGGGAATGTATTTCATAAATTAAACCAATGCAGATTAACAGTGTTAGACTCACAAATTCAAATTCAAAACAAATTCAGTCACAATTTGTCTCTACAGGGTTAAACAGCACTGTCTGCCCCTTAGGTTTGCCATTCTGCTGTAACAGATACTGATTTTAACAGTTTTCAGATCTCTTTCATCACCTGAGTTACTTCAGCTCGGGCTTCACATTTTCTGAAGTGGTCTCAGACTTACAGCATTTTGGGGATGTGACTTTTGGCATTGTCTCATTCATCCTCTCTGTGCCACCCCACAGTAACCTGTTCTCTTTTCATGATGCTGCATTAAATACCATTCTCCCTTTATCTCGGCTATTACTTAACCAGTCAATTAATTTACCTCTTGTGTTTCCCCACTTTCTCTATAGAAAAGGCATTGAGAAGATTTGGGTATAGCCATAATGTGGCACGTTGACTAAATCATCAAAGTCTTTGTACTCGCCTGATACTTCCAGGGTTGTCTTCTACATGCTGGCTTTTTCAGGTTTAACATTGCTTATGGTGACTCTGATTATATTGCCTCACTTGATTTCAATACATTCTCTCAATTCCTGTTTAAAAAAAAGGTATATAATTTAAATGCACTTTTGTCTTGGAAGGGAACACTCAAAATTTCTCATCCCTTTTGCAAGCACACTGATGTGGAGATACACCTGTTGGTTCCTCCATGGAAGACGGAGCCAATATGAAGCATGTTGCCTGCAGCTGTCTGTACAAAGGCTCCCTGTGCCATGTGCTGTATGGGAATGAGCTCACTAGTTGAATAGAGCTACTGAACCAGTTACGGATGCAGTCTGACAGTCACAGAACAAACGTGACTCATTTAAGAACATTCCTTACCTTCCCTTTTAATGAGTGGTTTCACCATAGTCAGTAAAGTAGAACTGAAAGGAGAACAAAGCGTTCTTCAGCCAGCTCCACACCGTGTTCTCCTACGCCACCTGCCCTGCTGCACGAGTGTGTTTGACACGTAAACAGAAGCAACCGTCCCTCCACAATGACAATATCCCTCTGATGTCCCAGACCTGGCAACAAAATCGCCTCTAGCAACAGAAACTAACGTGCTACTGCTAGCAATACTAACACGGTACTAACAGATGAGAAGATTGATGGCAGGGTTTTACAAACTACAAGAAAAGCTTTAAAACTACAAAACTTTGGCATGCTGAGGAGATACCATCATTTTTTCATGACAGTAATAATGGCGTTGGTAAGAAAGCAGGGTTCCGCAGGTAAGGAAACTTGGGTCTAGTTTCACCAAGCCATCGAGGCTTGGTTATGTGGCTTCATGCTAAAGAGTGCTTGACTTCCATGTTCAGTTCTCCTAAGAAGGGCTAAGAAATGAACCCGTACTACATCTTCACTTTCCCACCTTATGGTATGTCAATAATCACTTGGGTAAAGCTCTTCCAGAGAAAGTAGATCATAGAAATTATAACATCAGTGTAAACTTTGAAAACTTGATCACTATTTGCAAAATATTTTTGGTATAATAAAATCTCAACTCCACCAATGATGACGACAACGAACCTCTTGGTTATGCCTGTAGAACTCATCTCCTGTTCATCTCCTGTTGACTCTGAACAGGGTCTCATCTCCTGTTCAGCCACTGCAGCATGCAAATAGCAGCAAAATTTTCTGACTGTGCAATACATTAGTCCTCATACAAGGTCTTCTGCTATTGTTTCATTTTTATTATAGTGGATGGATCCTACCTAATTAGCTTACAGTAGAAACAATGGCATGTATTCACTTCACCAGAAATGGCTCTGTCCAGATGGGCACAGTGCAATTTTCAAGCATACTGCATTAGTGGTCTCCACGTACAATTTATTTTAGTGTAATCCACTACATGGCTGGGGAAGGAGACTGTTTATACAGATTTGGATTCTGTAACTGACATTCATGTTAACTCAATGCGAATCTCAAGATTTGAGGCACGGTTACTTGTAAATGCCTTGAGACATGTTATGGAGTGTTGTGTCTCTGGTTTTGAGCAGTGATCTGTGTTTCTGAGGGACCCAAGTTCAAGCTCTAATGATCAAGTCTGAAGTGAGGTAAAGGCTTCTAGATGGTGGCAAGATGTGCTTTGATTGCATTTTAGAGCTTGAAAAGAGGAGAGATTGTCTCAATGGACAGAGTCAGTATATAACGAAAAAGTTGATTCATTGGCTATTAGGTTCCAGTGAAGTATAAAATCTGTCATTTTAAAAACTCTCCTTTTTTTGGTTTGCTTTCTGAAGTGCCTTGAATAGTAGAATGCATGTCCTCAAAACACCTCTAATTCTGCTGGCATTGAGACCTCTCTTATTACTTCCAGAGGCAGAAGCAAGGAGAGGCTTAAATTGGCCTGATTTGTAAATTTTTGATTTGCAGGTAAGAAGAAGAAACTGATTGCATAGTTCTTAAAGTAATTCCGCAATAGGTAATTTTATATTATTTTACTTTATTTTTAGCAAGGTATGATTTTTTCACCCTTTGCTTTGTTGCACCCGCCCCTTTTTTGCTTAAATATATTTTCTTAGCTTTCCTATAGCACAGTGTTTTAGTATGAAAAAAGCCTTTCCCCTAATAAGCAACAATTAGCTAATATTACTTAGGATTACTAATCCCTGCTTTCCTTTTATACCCTTTAACCTCTCTCCTTTAAGGAATGAAAGCTTTTTTTTTTTTCTTTTTTTTTTTCTTTTCTCTTTTTTTTTTTGATTGAATTAAACTGCTTGTTTAATTTCTGTTATTGTGTGGTTACACAACAGAAGCATTGAATTCCAAAGTTCTGCTACAGCTAACAGAGTATCACATGTTACAAGCAGATTGAATGTCTCATTATGGCAGTAAGTATTATAGTTTTGTGGGTTTTTATGTAAATAAGGCTCCCGTGATCACCCTGCTTTTCTCTGCTTGGTTGCCTCTCTCCATTCACCTAATATTTTTGACTTTATTGGCCAGTGTCTACAAATGTGACTAGTGGGAAGAAGTCCCAAAGATATTTGAGCTATATAATTTCCAAGAAATTATATAATTTTCAAGAAATTAGATATCTGGGAAACCAGGTAGATGAGGAGAGTCTCCCTGGAGCTGCACTGAGGAAAGGGTTGTAGTAAAGTTCATACCGATTAAACACCAAATGATCCACAAAGATGGGAACAATTTCTGCCCTGTTTGTTTCACTTACTGTCTTCTTTTGAGGACGTGCTCAAAACTATTTAAATCAAAGGGAGTTATCCTGATAGAGTATGTATTGGTTCTTGGCAACGTGGATCAATGAAAGAGTGCAAAGTGAGCTGTTATTTCTCTTTTAATTTGTGACTTATCAGAATTTTTAATTTGTTTGTAGATGCAATTTGTGAAGCTTTACTTACTGAAGTATCTAGAAGTGACTTGGTCTACAAGGGAGTGCTGCAGTGCCCAAAATGCTTATTATAGCCCCTACTTTGTTTCCCAGTACAACGCCCAGGTATGTCAGGCCTCTCTTCAGGGCTGAACCTCTTCCTGAAGCAAACACAGCCAGTCAGTATGCACACTCCTGAAAACAAAACCAAGCTTCCACTGACTTCAGGAGCAGCAGCACTGAGTTCAAAAAGGCTCACGTGTGAACTAACACTAGAAAACTAATTGAGGCAGAACAGTAATGAGAAACTCAATCTAAAAATGAAGTGTTTTTAATTAAGAGACACTCTTCAGAATTATTCAGAATTATACAGAAATAGGCTCTTTATCATTTAAAATTTGGCTCTTCCTTCCTCACCAACTATAAATCACTACGCTGTGATTAGCAGATTTAGTAGAAGGAATGCCTGATTGTCTGGCTTTAGTTATGCCTGTGAATGTGATGAGGTCTCACTGAAGGTGTGTTGGAGCAGATTCTAGCAGTCTGCAATTTGGCATCCAATTTCTTACAAATGTTTCTCTTATAATCAGTTAATGTTATAATCTGTTTCTTAAAAATGAGAACAAATTGCAGAAGAAGTGTGCCTCTAGAGTCCTGGCAGCTAAGGGCAGCAGTACGACCCCACTGCACAATGAATGACTGGGAGTTTAGCTGGGAACAAGAAAGTGCCCAGTTCCAATCCTGTGCCAAGACCTTGTCCAATAATTTATGTAATGACTACTTAACAAAAGGTGCATAAATGCTCACCAGAGGGGAAGCCAGTACCCAGATCTTGTCTCTCCAGCTTTATTATGTCTTTAAAGGAAGGTGTGCCTCTCGCCCCATTTTATTAAGAGACTGGTAACACTTCACTCCGCTGGAGTCTGAAAGGAGATGGTAAATGTGATTGAAATCAGTGAACTCTGTGTACCCTTAGACCAAGACCATGACAGGAATCGGTGGCTGTGCAGAGTCCAGGGCTAGGTCACGCTGCTGCAGACCCAGCACCTGGCCGTAGGCCCGGCTCTCAGGTGTGTGTGGAGAAATCCAGGCCCCTCAAGGAGATCTGCTGTGTGTGGCCATGGTTAACCCAGCAAGTTGTGTGCCTCGGGTAGCAAAAGCTGTGGAAATGCTATTCTGCTGTCTCTACATGTAAAAAGAGCTTTCCCACTCGTTTCATCATGTCTGCCAGTCCATGCCGTACGTGGACTCTGAAGTGTGCCTGCTTATGAAGGAAACAAATTCAGTTGCTTAATGGTCAGGAAACTACCACAGAAAGGGTTTTGACAGATCAATCAATTAATAAATAAAAACTGTATCACTGAGGGGCCAAGCGAGTAGAAGAATAGGCAAAAGTAAGGGTCAAGACCATATAACCATGAGGGGGTAATAGCAAGGCACTAGCACTGGTAGGGATGGGACAGCACAGCCCGCCTTGATAAAGGTTAAAACCCTTGTAAAAGCTGTCTTTGACACCTCACTAGATAGTTTTTAATGGTGAACACCAGCCTGGTGGAGGCTATTACTTTCAGCACAGAAGAGGGTGTATAAATCCAACACAGGAGGCAGTAATGAGGATGCATTTTTTCTGTTTAGCATCCCTTACTAGTGCTCTTATGCTAGGGTAATGACTTGCCTGGTGTAATGACCTGCCAATTTCATTTTAAGTGCCTAACTCCCCAATTCCCCATACCATTGGCTGACACCAATAGGCCCTGGAACCTCCGCTCTGCCCCACAGTGCTGTCATCCATCATGTTTTGTTTTGGTTTTAGTGGTCCTGCAGCTGTGATGTGATCCAACCAGAAACTTCTTTCATGGGATTTTTCAGTCAAATCGATTTCCTAATCTGGTTGACAGTACACTTACATAATCTCTACTTTTTAAGTCAGTGGAGGTGGTGTGACTGTTCCTCTTGGTGGCTGTGTAAGGTCTTAGACCAGCTTAGGTAGATTGTGAAACCACACACTAGCACTCCAAGTTATGCGGGAAGCTTAAAAACCTTTTTCAGCCCTATGGATTCAAGTTCAGGCTTTTGTCAGACTTCTGTGAGGCTGACTGCAGAAAATGAGTTGCTAACACAAACCGAACAGCAGGATACTGGACCTGGGGGTGCCCAGAATTTGCCAGGAATACAGAGCTGTATTTGCTTCTGAATTCACGTAAGGGACATGGGTATTAGCATACATAGCTACAGGGATGAGCTACACCCCTGCCCTTTGTATTCTTTCAGTCATTCTAAAACAGAACAATTCAATGCTCCCTTATGTGTCACTTTTCACTCAAAACTTAGAATTGCACTGAGGTTGTCAACAGAAACGGAATAAAAACAACTAGAAAACAGTAAGAAGGGGGATAGAATGAAAAGCTACATTCCCCAGAATTGTTTATGAAAGGATTTCCGCCCAAGGACAGACACACACCTCTGCAAAGGACTTCTGAGCTGTACCACTTATCAGAAGTTTGCTGCTTGAGTTGGAATTCTGTATTGCCTACATTTCTTTACTTTTCAACCAAAGAGTGTCCAAGACTGTATAGATATTGCTGTCTATCTGCTTGTTATACTTTGTTCTTACACTTGGCAATGCTTTTAGAAAAAAATGTCCATATAGTCACTGGTAATGAGGAAAGTGGTTTTTTTTTTTTTTTTTCGCTTCCCTCATCTTTTGTCTGTACAACGGCAACGGTGACGCCTCTTGCTCATTAGCAAAATGCCTTTCCGGATCTCTGCAAGAATCAATGAAAGTCAGCATCACTGTAAATGATGAGTAATTAGACTTAGGAAAT